TTCACATGCGATTGACCATAAGGTTTATAGCACTCATCATCATCATCATCATCATCATCATCATCATCATCATCATCACGTGCGGTACCTGTGAGGAATCTCTTGTCAGCAGACTGGCTAGAGATGGCCAGGAGTTCCCATCTTACTCCCATCTGATTATCACGTATTTTCTGCAGGTCCCACCTATGTATTCTGCCCCAGCCCAAACGGAGAGAAAGTGTTTACCTCCAAGTCTGCTTACAGATTAGCCCTTTTCTCCTTTTTCAACACCAAGGCTTATAGATGGTTTGCCAATGATGGGAAATAAGCCCTTCTCCCTGTGCCAATGCTGAGAAAAGACGGCAGCAGCAAAGTCAGAACTGTCTGAGACTGCCAGAGGCTCTGTATTTTGCGGGTGGGGGTTCCTTTTTAACACTTGGTCATGGGAGTTAAGGGTTGCTTTAGGGCCCACGTCCAAGCACCACAAAGCAGTAAACTCACCACCTCTTCCTCAGGCGCCTGAGGAGAGGTGGGGGGGGGCAACAAGTCAGGCAGGGCTGGTTATTAGGGCTGGCAGATTCTCCCGTTTGCAAAAAAGCAGCAGCAAAAAATAAGGCATGGAGCAAGGACTGCAACTGCAGCCTGTGCTTTTTATTCTTTCCTCTTCAGGGAAAATCCCAGTTACCCTCCTGGTGTTTCTCCAAAGACCAGAACTGCTTTTGCTTTCAGAAACCATAGCTTGTTTCTGCGTATACATGGTTTCGCACAAAGGGTCCAAGGCTGCCCCTTAGGAACCCTTGTGAATGAAACGCATCTCGTCAGTTGCTTGTTTCCTGCCAGCCCTGCTGCACATGGCACCTTTTCCTAAAATTTTCTACCTTCCTTCAGCAAGTCTTGGTGGGGTACTGGGTGGTGGTGGAGGGGAAGTCTTCTCTAAAAATTTGAGTGGAAGAAGAACAATGGGGGGGGACCAAATCACATTGTTTATCTACATGGGTTCATTTGGAGTGGGCTAAAATGGATCACTTAAGGTTGGGAAGAGGACTGGTATGTTATTTGGTCCAGCGCCTTTAAAATAAAAGTGAAAAAATTCCATTCTTGCTCCTGTTTCTTCCTGGTTCTGGGAGGAAGATTTCAATTTTAAAAAAATGTTCTGAAAGCAATGGAGTGCATCAATGTTGCTCTAATTGGTAAGTTGTTTTTGCTTCCTACCCCGGTCCATGGAATAGCAGAGGAAATAAGTTTTTTATTTTCCTATTTAATTTCCCAAATTCCCCATATCATTAAGTGGTACAGATGTCTGTTTAATCTACTAATGATATGGAGATATTGCAACTTTCTTTGCAAAAAGGGGAGGGGAAAAGCAGCGATCAAAGTACTTTGACCCTTCTCCCCCTCCTTACTTCCATGTATAAAATGACCCTCAATTTTTCCTCTAATTATTTTAGGGGAAAGTGTCATTTTATACACACCTTTCATCTGTATGGAGGCACCTTTCATCTGTATGGAGCAGAGCTCAGGAATATTATATTTTTGGATTACAGTTCATATTGACTGAGGAATTCTGGAATTTGGATTCCAAAATGTAGCTTTTCCGTACTGTTCCCCACTGTACGGCCGGGAGGGGGGGAGTATGAAAGCTGTGTAAGTCAAAGGAGATAAAGGGCACATCTACATTGGTTCTTTTGGAGTGGGCTGGTGTGGGAGATGCGATATGTCATTTGGTGCGATCCTCACACCCTGAGAGCATGTCGGAGCAACCCTATTTGGTCTAGCTCTTTCCAATATTCTGAAGCGGCTTAATAAGCAAAGTACTTCAGAATATCGTCAAATTAAACACTTCCTCTGATCCTCAGGGGAGGAGCAGATGAAGTGAATTTTTAAAAGACTCTGGTAGACTATTGTGAAAGTGCTGCATAGCTTTAAAATAAAAGAAGAAGAAAAATGATATTTTCTTTGATTTGTCTGAAGGGCCAGTCAAGAAACTGCCTGCAGCTGAATCTGTGGATTGGCTGTAGGGGATTTCTTGATTTGTCTTTCGAGATAAACCAAAGAAGATGTTATTTTTTCTTTGTTTTAAAGTGATGCAATGCATCAGCAATAGTCTATTACAGCCTTTAAAAAACCAAAAACAAGCTTCCCCTGCACCTGTATCAAGGAGAAGAGAGTGTTCAATTTGGAGCCTTGACAGCTAGGAAGGCTTGCTTTTGGTTGATTCCCAATGATTACACATGCTGGAAATGGACCAAAACAGAGCACACCTACCCACACCAAAAAAGCAGAAGACTCTGACAGGGGCTCTGAAAGATGTAGGTAGGGCCACTCTGTGGAAGGTTTGGTTCACTCCAGCAATTATATTGTGTGATCACTGGAAGAAAGAGCAAACCAACCTGTCCCTGCATCAGATCAAAGAGCAAACCCGAAGTATCAAGGCTTGCCAAATGCAGAGGCAAAACCCTTTGCTCACTTTGCTGTGTGAGCTATTCTGTCCTAGGAAGAGCAGCGGAATGGGGTGTTCTTATGCCCAAGGTGTTTAGATACCTCTTATTGTTCTATACAAAATGCTAGGAATGTACTCAGCTGCCTGTGGGTGTGTTCCGGTGACAGGCCAGTGTTTTGTGCAAACTGCTCCATTCATGTGCGAAGAGCCACTTTCTTCCTGGTGAGTTCTAAGTGTGCATAACTGCTATATACCTCAGTGGTTTAGGTCTCTGGCTGTGCAGCCAATGCTTGGGAGTTGGATTCCCAATTGTGCCTCCCAGACAGGGTCTGGACACGATGGGGTCCCTTTCCCATAGGGTCCCTTTCAGCTCTGCAGTTTTAAGATTGTTTTAACATTAGGCCAGAGATACAGAACTCTCTCTTATCTGTTCTGTCATCTGAGTTATCTTCTCCTTGGGTAGGATACATGCAGGACAACTGGGGGTGGTGGTGGTGATACACAGTGATTAGGAGGTGAGCTTCACATTATTCTGCATTCCATTCTGGGAGATTTGATTGTTAACATGTGGATGGCTGGTTTTACACATCTCTCAACCCATTGACGCCTTGCACCAGATCCAGGCCTGGTGTAGTTATTGACAAGATCATGGCTATAGTCTCAAATAATGTGGGACATTGTGCAAGCGTGTTCCTTTCCTGTGCCATCCATATCCCACCCATGGCTCTGCTTCATTTTTGCCATTGCATCAGCACGATTTTGAGAATTCTGCCAGCACATATTTCATGTTGACATTGTATCTTGTGTTCTGCTGCCAGATTCTGTGGCCCTTCAGGCAATACCACTCAGGTATTACTTAGAGGCAAGCCATTCCCATTTCTTAAACAATGGCATGGCAGAGTGTTCCTTGATACAAATCATTATGACCCACACAAGAGGTGTATATGTTGAAAGTTTTCTAGGAGATACAATAGATCTGTTTGAGCAAAAAACTGGTTGTGCATATTAAGCCTCCAAATGGAAAGAGAGCATGGGGTGACAAACGGAGTTTCACAAAATATAAAATAAAATATCAGCCCTTTTTGCTGGAGTAGTGAAAAATGTTACTACAGTGGTGCCTCGCATAACGTTTATTGCTGGAGTAGTGAAAAATGTTATTATTAAGTACCAACAGGGAATATCAATAGCTGATACGTAGCTTCATCATATTTAGAACATGACAGACAAGGAGAAACCATAGTACTATGCATATATCCAATTGCAGTCTAGTTATCTATCTAAATATATGACTAGGACTTTCGAGAACAGGGTTTGAATCTCCACTCAATTACGGAAACTCACTGCAGCTCTGAAACTGGTAAAACCAGTTCTTAAATATCTCACTTACATTAAAAGTCCTATTAGGGTTGCTATAAGACATATCTGACTTGGCAGCATAGAGCACACACACAAATACATATACACAAAACAAGTATGAATATTATGAATATTAGTGGCTTTTTGAAAAGTTGGAAAATGCTTTGGAAGTATGTTAGCTTGAGTGTTTTCCTAGTGGCCATTTTTCTAAACATGATTTGTCATCTTTAATATTGGCAACCATCTTGAAAGATGAATGATGAAACATTAAAAAATATATGTCAGTTATCTAGGAGACTGGTTTAAATTTCTAATGATAACCCTCAACCTTAATATTTGTAAAAAAAAACTTTAACTAGGTTTTGCAACACTCTCAGAATATCCCACAAAGAACCCAAAATGGGCTAGACGAGAGCTTCTGCATGCTGCATATATACTCCGTTGATATGCGTATATTCTACCTGCTCAAAGAATAGGCTAATTGAAGTTACACACTAGTGTAATAGTTTTAGAATTGTAATGTAACATTTGCTGCAGTTTACTTACATGAACAGTGAACAAAAGTCTGCATTAAGAGGTGGTTGCTAGAATCCTGCTGGTGTCCTACATGTGTGTAAGTTAAATTGCATAATGCACCGTGACAAATTGCTGATAGCTAATGTGGTGCCAGTCACATTATTAGGAGTATACATGTTATGCAATGGAGGCACACCTTGTAATGCGGCTGATATGCTTTTTACTGGCAATTACATATTATGCAAATGTAAATCATCAACAGGACTCTGGCAAACATAGTGCTGGGCCGGTCATCATGCTATCTGCTTGTCAGCTTCCAGGGGCATTGTCTGTCAGTGACTAATATGAGATTAGGTTGTTGTTTGTCAGATTCAGGAAGACAATTCCTGCATTTTCACAAGTTGTTTCAGCTTAAATTATTCTCCCGTCATACCTTCCCAAGTCTTATGGTTACAAATCTTCCAGAGTCCAAAGCTACAAGTTAGATATCCTTTTTTCCCCCTCTAATGCCATAGTCTGCAGTTGCTAAAGGCACCATAATGCAAATTTGTGATCTCTTTCTTATTGGTTTGCAATGGCGGCAGCTAGATGTCGCCCATGTATGAATAGGCACCTTGGGGCTGCTCCAGGGATCATAGGTCACAGTTTAGTGATGTATGTAGTTGTCTCACTAATGGGTCTTATCGATTATTACCCATAGAGACGGCAAAGAGCTCTGGACTCCTCCCTTTCCTGCCAGATGCTGGCAACCAAGCTACCTTGCCCTTTGAGCTCTGAACAATCTGCAGGAGAGAGTCAAGCTTTCTGGGTAGATCGACACCAAGACAGCACATAGATTGCTGCAGCACGGTAAGTGGTAAATGATAAATGGGCCTGAGAAACATCTCCATAGCAATGGTACCTGGGAGGGGAAATGCTAAAACAGAATAAATAAATAGCATATAAAGTACTGTGGACAAAATAGTCTTGAAGGACTCCACAGTACAGTTCAACTAGACGAACAAAAATTCGTACAACGGAAACTAACTGGTACTGAGAAGGCCACAATCACAATTTCAAGAAAACCTTGACTTTTATCTACAGTCTAAATTGCTCCTTGCTAATGTGTTCTTTTAAAATGAGTTTTGAAATGTTAGTCTGAAGGTCCAAAGTTGCAGGTATCATGAACAAATAATTTCACAAGAGGTTATCAGATCCCTATATAGTATGTGTCTGTAGAGGACGCCTGAAAATAGACCTCCATCTACAACATTCTATGACCTCCATCCGTCACGACCTTTGCAACAATCCTAAGCTTTCAGCTTCAGGTATTCAGTTTCTCCGTATTAGTACTGATCATAACTCAGGCAACCACTCTTACACCAGCAAGACTCAGAAAATATGATTTCCCCAGATACTATTGAACTCCAGCACCACACCAATAGCCTTAGCTAGCCTTGACAATGAGGATGGATGATGGGAACTAGAATTCCAAAACATCTCAATGTAACATCATTTTCAAGCAAAGATGGGCAATGGGATTATGGGATTGAGAATCTCTTCCTTTAGAAGAGGCACTCCTTTAAGTGGTAAAAGACATTTCTTTGTCATAGCATAAGCTCCACATTTTGCACATTAAATTGTTTTTTGCTTTGTGATTGTTCATTTGGAGATAGATGTAGGATCCATTTGAGAGCCTGATTGCTTGTGCATGGGGCTCTGAGGAATCTCATAACTGGAAAATGAACTATGCTATCATCTTCTACTTTTGAGCTCAGTGTCTCATGCAACTTGACCCACGTTCTTCTTGCTTTATGATTTTTTGCTCAAACACAATGTTCAATTTTCACATGACAGCCCATTGGTGGCCCATGTCTATACTTTGTTCATGTCTGAATAAAGGTCTTTCACTCTAAACTGAATGCCTAGAAGGTACATAGTAGAGATGTCTGCATTCTTAACTCCTCACACTCTTCATCTAGGTCAGCTAGACACTAGAATTGATCAAGGCCATGGAAAAAAGTTCCTGAAAAGAAGGGGTACAGCAGGGATGGGGAACATATGGTGTTCCAGATGTTACTGGAATGCAACTCCCATCATTCATGCCATTGCCTATGCCAGCTAGGGCTGGTGAGAGTTTCAGATCAACAACATCTGCTAGACCACACAGTGCCCAGTCACTTCGGCATATAACAATAAATAGTGGGCAGTTGAATTCTCTCCATATTGCCTACCTTTTGATAGTTAAATTAGAACCCTACAGTCAAGTAGACATAGAAATCAACATGCCAGCTGTATCACATATGCCATATATGGATAGCACATAGAAGCCAGCAAGGATTGCTAGATAGAAAAGGTGATTTTTCTCCGAGTTAGCCTCCTGAGGGGGCTTAACACACCACAAAGACTTGTTGTATCTATATTTGATCCCTTCTCTGATACTCCAGTTAGCACTGATTCAGATATAACAAGAAAATGTTCTGTTTGTACATAAAGAAAGATAAAATATCACTGGAGTGCAAGATACCTACGTTCCTTGTGTGGATGAGGGCAAAGGCACTCTGGGCTGGCTTGCCAGGCTGAAGGGAAAGGGTAATGGGTATTGGAGAGGACTGGGAGTATTGTATCTGGGACAGAAAGACTCTTGGGACTGGGGAGTGGGTCACATTAAGAGTTCCCAAGGTAGAGGATGAAAGGCTTGCACTGGTCAAGATCACCCTCCTTTTTAGATGAAAAAGAGAGGCGAGGTAGGAACTGTGAGAGTGGGGAGTGAGAAGAGGTGCGACTTGAAACCCTTAAGCCTGACCTAGTCATTGGGGGATAGCCTGTTAAAGTCCCCTGCCTTTACGAAAAGGAGAAGGAGGGAGGGATAGCTCCCCCTTTCAAACAGTCACGCATAAGTATAAGCTATCCCTGTTGCGACAGCCCTTGCTTAGCGTGACTCAAATGGGCCTTCCAGGAAATAAAGAAACAGGGGATAGTTTGATAAGTATAGAGAGTGGGAAAGTAAATAAGGAGAGCAGTAAAGAAAATGTGATTGGTTCCTGTTTAGAAGAAAGGTTTTATTTCCCCATTCATAAGTTTTATACCTAAAGTTCCAGTTTTATACCTAAAGTCAAGTTTAGTAAATACCATTGTTGATAAGCATGCTCCATCGCCGGTGATGGATTCAGTGACATGGGAGGTCTAGGAGCGACTGGGGCCATGCACCTTCCCGTTTATCTTTTTCGGTGGCAGTTTATAGACCACATTGAATAAAAGCTGAACAAAGATTAGAAATGGGTCTACAAGACACATACAGCCCCCCAGGTAAGTCAATATGCCCCCCCAAAAAACCTCATCAGCCCTTCTGAAACCCAGACACAGATACAGTATTTAAAAAATTGCCCCCAGAATACAAGTCACAGCCTCAAAGGTCTCTGGGTTGCATGACAAGCAAAGCAAAAGAAAGTGCTCTGTTTATATACCACCCCACAGTGCTTAAGGCACTTTTGGAATAGTGTACAATTTGGAATAGTGTACAGTGGAAGACAGGAGGGCCTGGCGTGCTCTGGTCCATGGGGGTCACAAAGAGTCGGACACGACTTAACGACTGAACAACAACAACTTTTAAAAATAATACAGGCTGCACATTGCCCATCCCTCAGCGAGCTGGGTACTTAGCTTATCAGCTTAAGACGGATGGAAGGCTGAGCCAATCTTGAGCTGGGTACTGAGGCCATTGGGAGCAAACTCAGATCATGAGCAGAATCTCAACTGCAGTGCTGCAGTTTAACCCCTGTGCCAAAAGACTCTTAAAGGCATTATATATTCCATTTCAACTGCCCATGGGGTGGTTGAGGACTCAGCAGACCCTTTTTGAAAATTGAAGTGACCATTGGATTATTCCATTTCTTAAAAAGGTCCAGAACAGTGCTAGAGTGGGTGAAATGGTGAGTGTAGTGCTACAGGGAGGGACAAAAAATTGGGGTACTTTTGAGGAAGTGGGGTGGTTGGAGGAGATGTGTAGCCCTCTAAGGTCCAACCCCTTGGATGTTGCCAAATACTGTTCTGAGGTGTTAAATGAGTTAGCTGTTATTTGTGTGAATAATGTTCTTAGTGATTTCATATCGAATTGGATTAAGCCTATGGTGACTGAAAGACCATCACTTCCCACATGAATTTGCCAAACTACTGGCAAATTCATGCTTTGTTACATATCCCACCAATAAACGAAGTATCATGATAGAAAAATGACAAAGCCTTTTCTGTGGCTGCCCCCAGTTTTCACATAAATGACTTGAGAGTCCTCATGTAAAAAAAGAGTATACCATATTTTTCCATTTATAACACACCTCCATTTATAAGACACACACATCCCAATTTTCTAACCCACAAATTAAGAAAACTTAGCTTTGAGGATTCAGCCTCTGGGCTCAGAACATCGGATATTTTGAGTCTGTTGAATATGAACCTACAGGCTCCACCTCCAAGGAGGTGTGTTCCAACTGGTTTGTTCAGCATTAGCTGACATCAGTTCCATAAGGCTTGTGATTGGAGGAAGCTATGTCTCCTGATTGTAGGAAATTAAGCTTCGTGACTGAAGGAAGCCTGTTTACAGAGTCAAGGTATGTGCTGTTTTGTTTTCTCCTCAGCTATCTCAGCTTACTTCCGTGTCAAAGATGCCCCTCAATTTTTAGTGTAATGATTTTAGTAAAAAGTCGTGTCTTATAGACGGAAAAATACGGTAAAAAGCAAAAAGAAATAAAATCTCTCTACCCCAATCTCTCTCTCTCACACACACACACACCTTGTTATTCCTCATTAGTAACTTTTCTGAGTCTCTTGTTGACTATTGTTGATTGAGGAAGCTATACAGTAAAAGTTGATAATCTGTTGTACTGTTTCTAGACTCTATTCCAACTTTTCTCACTGAATTTTAATCCCATCGAATGTGAAGTCAAGACTGTAGCCACCTAATGTTCAGTCAGATAGGAATATTTACGGCAGGGTAATAAACGCATTAATATGAAGGTGAAGATGAAAATATTGACAAATGCCCAAATATAATAATTCAAACGTGTGTGCATGTATTTTTAATAGGGAAAGTGTTACCAGGCAAGCCAGGGCAGAGAGTATGTTTTTAAAGAGAAATTTATACTGCCCAGTGGTCCAGTATTTTTACTGGGCCTCTGTGAACTTTAACACTCATGACCTAAAGAGATGACTATAGACAATTTATCTAGTATCGCCTGAACTTTTAAAGCATATTTGATCACCTCTGCACCATGTCTTATTTCTTTAGGTCAATGTGTAGTATCCCTGCAGCTATGAATCCTTGCAGCAGATAAGCCCAGCCACCCTTCCTTTCTGAAAAAAATAGCAAAGTAATCAGGACAGAGGTGAGAGAAATTTGCATGTACTGTAAGCAAAGTTACAAACCTAAAACTCACAAAGCGTGCTGTGTGAATGGCAAGGAGCAGCATGGAAACATAAGCAAACAGAAAAGTTTGGCATGTTACAGAGAAAGAGCTGCTGTGAAACAGAGGATTCCCTAATAAAGATGCATATGGTGCAGATCCTTCATCCAGAACCAACATTCACAGTAGCATGTACCTTTCCCAAACTCTTATCAGATACATGTTACAAAATATAAAATGGCATGTTCTTGTGGATATTGGCAGTCGCTAAATTTTAGACCACATTCAAATGCCCTTCCTCAGATTTTGACACAATAAAACACTATAGAAACTGTCACTGAAAGTATAGGTTGAAGTAAAAAATTCCCCTGTCCCCCTGATATTACTTTTCCACACAACTTTCAAGGTTACCATAAGCCATTTCCTATTATTCCTCCACTGAACATTCACACAACTGAAGGCTACTGGCTCTTAATCTCCCATGGATGATGTTACTCGGTTTCTATTCAAGGGACTTGAATATCTGGAACAGAGGACTCGCAAGGGGACCCATGCTGGGCAGAAAGGGCAAGAGCAGCAAAATATGTATCTCTTTCCCATGGCATACGTGCAGGCCTGGTTCTCCCTCAGGGGAGGAATGTCAGCTGCCTGGAAAACAGGACACAAGGTCCCATTACCAAGCTTGTTTGGCGCTGGGACAATGGACATATTTGGAAAAATTGATATGTATATATTTTGTATTCCGTGAAGGTCGTTACCCAATTAGTCTGGGATGTTAATGTGTATAAAGGACAGAGCCCGTGGTTATATCCACCCTTGAAAACAATAGGGTACTGTCTCTACAAGTGTTCCCCCCCCCTTCATATACCAGCCTTCTGAAAGGTAACTGGAGAAATGGCAAAGGGGAACAATGAGAAAGCAGTACTGTGAGAGAAGAGTCCGTCCTCTTCATTTTGACTGGTTCCTACCAGCCTCCCAGAGTGGTAGAATATACCAGATGGCGGGATATAAATCAAATAAATTAAAATAAATAAATAAATAAATAAATAAATTCCTTATTTTCTTTTAAATCTCACTCATATCTCATCTTGTCTTAAAGGGGTATGGTTTTTTTTCCCCTCTTCTTCTTTCCCTCTCCTTAATATCCTTTCCCCTAGCTTTAAGACAGCTTTCATTCACTTTCAGGGCTAAATGCTCTGAACTTCTCTTGCTCTACTCTTTTCATAATGGATCTCCTATTTTAAAAACTTTTTTTTTCAACTTTATCTAGAGTGGTTGTTCTTTTGGACCTTTCTAGGATCCTTTGTCTGGGACCTAGGGAGAGGTCTATCAGTATTTCCACCTTCAGTTTTCTGCCTTACGTTAGTTGGTTAAGAGACTGTGTTCTCCTCTCCCACTCTTTTTGTTCACATTTTCTTGAAGAGAAGGCTTTAAAGCTACATAGCTGGGAAATTATAGGGTTGCATTTAAATTAGTTTGGACTGATGAAAGTCCGGCTGAGCTTAAATAACAATTCACATAACTGCTTACTGCGCCTATTGTGATTTGACTGTCATGTTTCATTTAAAATTCTAACATAGACTGTCTGATACTACATTCCTTTCATTTAATTTAGGGGATGACTACACTGACAAATAATATGGGAAATGCTCCAAGATCAAGATGATCAGATTCGTATTGTTTTTCTGGTGTACAAGGTAATGAGAATAAACTTGGAGTCCCCCCCTTCCATAATCCACACTTTTTTCTTTTACTGCCAGAAAAAGCTTTCACGTTGGTTCAGGCAATGTGATCTCTTGTGCCAGTACAGGAAAGCATGTGCAGGAATGCTAGTGGTTGGTAGGGTGGGAAGAGAGGAAGAAAAGATGCATGTGTTTGTCCCCAAACCATTTCTTTCTTTCCCTGGACAGCTGCCTTACAAGCTGCAACCAAGGACTGATTGCCAACCTCCTCTTCTCTGTCAGGGGAAACCCAGCTTCCCAGGTGTAAATTCACAATGGGCCAATGTGCATTTTTCCTTCTGTGTAGTCACAACCACAGTGAAGAATAAAATCATGACTTTCTGGGCAAGATATCATTTTTGCATATAAAAACCAGTGCGATTTGAGTACAACTGTATCTTTTTGTGCATACTTTTCTTCATACAGTATTTGCTCTTTTACATTTGCTTCACTTGAATCTTCAACTTAGTATATTTTGTCTTTGGAGAAAAGTATTCAATATTCACCTTGTTCCTGTCTCAGACTTAAATAAATCTGTTGATTTTTGTTTACTTATAACTAGGCTGTTTTCTGGTTCCTGTGCACTGAGGCAAATATCAAACCTTGTTCTAATATTTAGTTTGAGTTACACTTTTTGCATTTAGTTACACTTTTTGCATTTTTGCAAACTTTGCACAAGTTTGCATTTAGAGCAAATCCAGCCTCTAACTTCAAGTGGAGGGATATGTCTGAATGATCCATATGATTTCTCTCCTAAACATAGCTATTGCTGCAGTAATTTACAAAGAACAACTGTTATATTGCATTAACTTTGAATTATTTTTTAAATTCATGTTATGAACTATCTTGTGACCTGAAGTAAGATGTAGATAAATGCGTTATTAAACATATTTAGAAGTAGCTGCTTTTAATTTCCTGAACGTTCCTAATGCACAGTTTTATTCATATTATATTGTAAAGATATTAAAAATCTCTCTGCTTGCTTAATACACAACAGAACAATGTCCATTAATTAGTTGCTTAAAGAATAGTGCTTTTTTATCAAAATTTACATCCCACCTTTTCAGTAAGAATATTTCCCCAAAGCTAATATTAGAATACAGGGTGGAAACCCCACAAAATTATGATTAAATAAAATACAAAAACAAATCAATTGAAACCATCTCAGTTAGCATATACACAGAATCCACAGCTAAAACCATTTTTAGCCAAGAAAAAACATCCAAAGTCTGCTCTGAATCCAAATTTCTTTACCTTTATATCTATTTTAAAAAAATTAACAATAATTTTAAAATACCATATAAATCTGGGTTCATAGTTTCAGAGTTTGGAGGCAGACCGATGGGGAGACACACAGAAAAAGGAGAATACTAATTCTCAGGCTCATATGCAAAAGAACTTTCGAGGCTGTTCATGTCATATTTCAGGCAAGCATTATGAACCTTAGAGGCTTGTGTCTCTCTTTGAAAATTTGATCACATCACCAAGCAAGACACAATGCTGTGAAGGCTTGTGTGAGTATTGTGTAAAGGCTTTAATGCATTAAGGGTACACTTTGCTTAATTGTAGCTGAAATCCCCAAGGATGTCTGTCTTGCATTCAGTGCTCATGTTCCTCAGATGCTAACCGACCTCTGGGTTTACAGCTAATCATCTAAAGGAAAAATGTCTCTCTCTTTTTTCCCCTCTTTCTTTTGGCCACTTGCTTTTTATTCAAACATGCTGTGGTGCACATGCATTTCCAGGTGTTTTCAGTTACAGATCCAAAACATAAGGAAGAGGAATGGGGTTATATTGCTGTCTGGTTTCTCTTCTGAAGGCCCAGAAGGGAAGGAACCATCTATGCTCAGATGAAGTGCTGAGCCTAATTACTAATAGCAATTCTGCCTAATTAGATAATTAGACTAACTACCCAATTAACAGAGATTGTTATTAGACAAAGGCAGGTGGAAGCTGGAAGCTGGTGTTCCTCCTCTGTTTTTCTTTTTATTTCATTTTATTTTATCACCTCAAAGTCAAACTAATCACCTGCTTTCTTTGTTAAGGATGGGGGGGGGGAGAGAGAGACAATCAAATAGTTAAAAAAAAGTGGGATGTCTTCATCACTAATATTTGATGGGAGGAAGAAGGGTATTTGTACAGAAAAATACAAATGTTGCCACCTTTTTTTGGACAAGGGACTCTTAGTAACTGGCAAACCTTTTCCTGACAAGGAGACAAAATGATGAGAAGCTACACCTGCAGGATTTTTATATGAAACCCAGCTGTTACAAAAGCAGGAAAGCATTTGCATTATGTACAGATTTATTTATTTATTTATTTATTTATTTATTTATTCTATTTATTCTATTTATTTATTCTATTTATTCTATTTATACCCCGCCTATCTAGTCATTTCGACCACTCTAGGTGGCTATAAAGGAATTGCTCCCCAGCAGGGACTTGAACCAACAACCTTTGGAACTCCAACAGGGTGCCTTACCCGGCTGGCTTTCTGCCCATAGGGGACCCAAAGCAATTAAATTAAAATTGTACAATAACAATTAAAAAATATACAGAACAGTCTTAAACATGAATAAAGAGTAAATCTGAGATTAAAACCAATTGAAATCTTTTTTTAAAAAAAAGTCTAAAAATTTCTAAGTTTCCTAAATGGAGCACTCCCTAGGCTCCCACTTCTTGCCCAAAAATGAAGGTCTTTGCCTGATGATGAAAGGACAAAAGGAACAGGAACAAACTGGCTTCTTGAGAGCAGCCACTGAGAAGGCCCCACCAAATGAGCTTCAGAAGGTGGCGGAACGGAGAGAAGGGCCTCCACAGAAAATCCTAAAAGCTATGAAGGCTAATATGGGGTAATATGATCCACAGCCTGGACCCAAGCCATGTAGGACTTTATAGGTAATAAATAACCCACACTTGGAATTGAACCCAGGAACAGACTGTCAGACAGTGAAATGGTCGTATGAAGGGAGTTACATGGTCCTTCTTAACCAGCTCCAGTCACCAGTCTGGCAGCAGCATTTTGAACCAGCTGAAATTTCCAAACATTCTTCAAAGGCAGCTCCACATAGAGCATGTTACACCAGTCCCGATGAGATGTACCTAAGGCATGTGTCACCATGACCAGATTTTACACCTCAAGGAATGGGGACAGCTCCGCACCAGCTTTAATTGTCCATACAAATTCCTGGCCACAACTGGGATCTGTGCATCCAAACTCAGAATTGGGAGCACACCCAAGATACAAACCTGTACAGTATTTTAAGGGGGGATTGTAACCCCATCTAGCACAGCAAGAATCACTGCTCCCTCATCTGCTTTTTGATTGACCAGGGATACCTCTGTCTTGTCTGAATTAAATTTCAGTTTGTTAGCCCTCCTTTGGCCTATTACTAACAAAAGGTACTAGTCTAGGGCAGAATGACTTCCTTGGAATCAGAGGAGAGGAGACATAGACTTGGGTGCTCTCAGCATACTGATGGCACTGAACCACAACACATAGATGTTGAATAACATGGGGAACAGAACTGAACCCTGAGGGACACCACAGGCTAATGGCCAGGGTGTTGAACAGGTTTCCCTCAACACCAACTTCTGAGTTCAGCCATCAGAATCCACTGTAAGACAGAAAGGTGCTCCAGAAGGATACCGTGGTCGATGGTATAGAAGGTTGCTGAGAGGCCCAGCAGAATCAACAGGGAAGGGAGCGACTAAATGATGCTGGGGCACCTCCCTTATGAGGAAAGGCTACAGTGTTGGGGGCTCTTTAGTCTAGAGCAGTGGTCCCCAAACTTGGGCCTCCAGATGTTCTTAGACTACAACTCCCAGAAGCCTTCACCTCCCCCTCAGCTAGCCAGGATTTCTGGGAGCTGAAGTCCAAGAACATCTGGAGGCCCAAGGTTGGAGACCACTGGTCTAGAGGAAAGGTGTCTGAGGGGGGACATGACGGAAACGTATAAAATGATGCAGGGGGTGGATAAAATGGATAGAGGGAAGCTCTTTTCTCTCCCACACAATAGTTGAACCAGGGGACATTCACTCAAATTGAGTGTTGGGAGAGTGAGAAGAGACAAAATAAAACATTTCTTTACCCAGCATGTTGTTACTCTGTGGAACTCCTTAACACAGGGTGTGGTAATGGCATCTGGCTTAGATGCCTTTAATTGGACAGATTCCTGGAGGAAACGTCCATCACTGGTTACAAGCCATGCATGGGGATGTATACTCTCGAGGCTTGAAAGGAAGGTAACTCAAAATGCCAGATGCAGGGGAGGGATATCAAGAGACAGGTACCTAGTTGTCTCGTGTGCTCCCAGAGGCATGTGGTGGGGCCACTGTGAGATACAGGAAGTTGAACTAGATGGGTCCTTGGCCTGATCCAGCAAGGCTTTTCTTATGATCCTATGTTCTTATGACATATTCTTCCTGTCCAGTTCCCCGCATGGATCATTCAGAAAGGCAACCCAAGCTGTCTCTGTTCTGTAATCAGGTCTGAAGCCAGATTGAAATGGATCTCAATAATCAGCTTCATCCAAGAACTTCTGGAGCTGGGATGCCATCACACTCTATAAAACCTTGCCCAAAAATGTGGGATTCAAGGAGGGCTTTTGAAGCAAAGATATTACTACTGCCTCCTTTAGACATGCTGGTACCCTAACTTGGGGGTACAAGGAGGTATTTAGCACTTCACTAAACCATTCTGCTGGACTGCTTTTATAAGCTTAGAATGGCAAGAGTCCAACACTTATGTGGTGGTTGTCCCCTCTCCAAAGATCATGCCCACATCCTCAGGCTGCACCCACAGAAACGTATCTATTATAACAGGACAAGCGGGGGCCAAAGTTACATCAACTACAGCATCAAACTCAGAGCAGATCCAAGCGACTGTGAAGTGCCAAGCAAACTCTTCACAGCAGGCTGTTGAATGGTCAATCGCCCCTCTCTCATGAACATCTGTGCAATAGGATCTTGACCACCCGAAAGAGCTCTGCTGGACAGCTCTGTACAGAGGCAGTGGTGTTTCTTAACTGCTACCATTGCCACAGAGTAGGCTTTCCAGGGAGCTCTGTGTTTGATCAGATCTGCTCTGGCTTCTCCTCTAGTCTCCATCCCATTCACTTCACCATCCCCAACTCCCTAGTAACCAAGGACCTAGCTTGACTGTGTTCTGTGGGACAGAGTGCTTAGGAGCGATTGTACCAATAGCCCTGGCCACTTCTGCATTCCAGAGATCTGGAAAGGCTTTGACAGGATCAGCTGCTAAGACAGCCAGAAGCTCCCCAAGACCCATTAGGAAACCATTTGGATCCATCAGTCAACAAATGTATAGATAGTGACAACTGCCACAGCAATTTTGTGCCTTCTCCATAGGTTAAACCACTACAGATAAGGATGAGGCTGTGTTCTGGCCTCCATAAGGAATACTGTACTTTGGCAAGCACTGAAAGAACTGCATGTTTCATTCATGTCAGTATGAGCAGAAGATTTCTACCCACCTGAAGGCCATTTACCAAGGAAGTCATAAATCTTCAGAGCTGAGCATCATAACCTGGAACCTATCAAACAGCAGAACATGGATTAAACACTGCCAAATGTGGAAGAAGGTCCTCCCTCCAAAGAGTGGGCTCCAATTCCTCATCTCCTCTTCACTGCAAGCATTGCCTGCGTTAGGTGCTCATAACTGCTACTGCCAGCGAGAGGTTGGAAATAGTGCTTGTTTTGGAGCTGAAGTCCTAGAATCAGAGTAGAGGCAAGTTCTGGGAGCTGACGTTAAAAAAAGAAAAGGCCACCTACTTTTTCACCAGACAGAGGAAGGGAGGAAGCTGGTGGCAACTGCTTGTTTGTTACATTCATGCCCCACTTTTCTCCAAGGAACTCGAGGAAGCGTTTGTGGATCTGCTCTCCATGTTTTTTTGCCACACAATAGTCCTGTGAGGCAAATTAGGCTAGGAGACCATGACTGCACGAAGCCTACCTGACAGACTTCATGACTTAAGTAGGCGTTTGAAACTGTACCTCCACTGTCTTAGTCCAACATTGACCACTACACCAACATTCTTGCTGCAATTCCTTCTCTTTACTGACCTTGTTCTTTGGCTTTTTTCAACTTTTGAGGGTCAAAAGGAAAGAGGAAGGTGAGGTAAAAAGTGGTGAAGAGAACGTGCAAATCCAGGGTTTGACACCAGGGAATCTGTTGAGGCACAGGTTTCAAACATACACCCCACCATGTCAATCTTGCTGCCTGGCCTGCTGTTTGTATCACCCGTTCAATGTACCCTCAGCATCTTTCTGTGTTCTGGCCTTACATTGTCTTAGTGGGTCCTGCTAGGACTGTGAACTGGCTTCAGGTGAATGCACAGTCCCAACTCATATGGTGTCTGTGTCCGTGTACTAGGTGGTGCTGGTAGATCTGTACCCAACATAATGTGGCAAGAGGAGTTCTGGTGCCCATTACACATAGGCAATCCAGTTCCTGAAAAGACACTAATCAATTTAGTTTCTTCTTTAGTTGTTTTGGTAGTGGTGGTAGAGCCCTACTAGACAGCCTCTGATTATGTCACACCTCACACAACTGACAAGAAAGGATGGTCATTCCTTCATTGAGCTTAAAATATAGGAAATGGGGAGAAAAGGGACATGAAGAAACCTAGTTTGCTAGCTGCCAAAAATAAAGAACTGCATGTCTGCAGTCTGGAACTCTGAATGTCCACCATGTTGCTAAGTTTCATGGGTGTTGTGTAAAACCACCCCAAAGTTGTAGCCATTTTTGTGTCCCCATTCAAGCACATGGGATGTTCCAGATAATAGGGAACCCTAATATCACAGCAAATCCATGTTGGGGGAACTGAACTGCCTTCTGGACCAAATCAAGAGACCAAAGTGTAGCCTTATTACTTACCACAACAGCTTGATTCACGAACAGCAGGAGTGCAAAAAAAGGCAGCTTATATACTACCACCACCCCTCCCCCACAAGCTGAGTACTCAGTTTACTGACCTCAGAAGGCTGGAAGGCTGAGTGAACCTCAAGCCAGCTACCTGGGATTGAACCTGGGTTGTGAGCAGAGTTTTGGCTGCGGTACAGCAGTTTAATCACCATGCCACAAGGTTTCTTCTGCAGCCTTCAAAATGTTTCTGGGTGACAATTCCCATAATTCCATTGATTATCTTTGGCTGCCAGGAATAGTTGCCCAAAGATATCTGGAGGGGGGCAGCTTTGGCCCTAATTCTGTAAGCTTCAATGTGCATAAAGCCACAAGGAAGTTGTAGTGGATGAACCATGCACATTCATTGTACACACTGAATGCATTACCATTTGAACCTTACCATCAAAATTTTGGCATTCAATTACCATGTACGTTTATGTGTACATTTGTGCATGCATATAAATATATCAGACTGGTAATATGAGAGTTCAGCATGCTGAAGCCTTAGCATTCTTCACACACCCACTGAGCCAAACTACACTGCTGGTGAGCTTTTTCACTGAGAATGCTGAAAAGATCTGATTGTGGCAGCAGGAGTTTTTCATGCCTCCTGTAGTTTGCGAATTAGTTTGCTTTGTTTTCTGACTGGCCATCAAGAGATAAGCATCAGCTTTGTTTGCAACTCTGATTGGTCTGTCAGGCAGGTTTTTCACCATCAGCCCTAATCTGCTTTTCTGCTCCCTCTCCACCAGCAGAAACACTAACCAAATGCAACGGAAGCTGGTGGACACTGTCAGGCTTCATCCTGCCTAATTCTGTGCTGGCCTGGGCAAACGAATGACACACAGCCCAGCATCCAAGTCTGCATGTTGATAAAGGAGATAAAGCACAGCTGGTAAGTGCAGTACAGAGAGAGGAGAGGAGAGAGAACTGTTCTAGCTGGTTGAGGACAGTGGCTCCATTCATACATTGTCTGTCTTCAACTCAAGGCTCCGGTTTCACCCTTGGACTTCTACAAAAGTCGTTCTGAATCTGCTCCAGCTGGAAGAAGAAGAAGAACCAGTGTCTATAAAACTGATCTGAGAGCACATTGCTCCCATTTGGGACAGGGTGAGGCACGTAGGAGTCAGGTTGTCTGCCTCTCTTTCTTTGCCTGGAGAATGAGCTGAAAGCATTCTCATGGGATGGGAAGCGATGCCCCCTTCACCACACACTTCCTTACAAGAAAGGGCTCAGGGGTGGGGTGGGGGGGATGAATGTGTCACATGGAACATCCTTCACAGTTCATTTTAAAAGAATCTTTAAGGAAATGGCTTTTTATCATTTTCATTTCAATAGCTCTCTTACAAGAGCTAGGCGGAGATTGATTGGGACATGCCTGCCTGTTACAGAGCAATAAATTCCATACCCACAGATGGAGCAGACTTATTAGCATTTATTTTTACTAGAATGTAGAGCATAGACTCTCTCTCTCTCTCTCTCTCTCTCTCTCTCTCTCTCTGTGAACTGTGTGGTTGGATATGGTTGTGCTTCACACAGGTGTTGGATGCAAAGCATCAGATTTTTTTTCTTTTTCTTTTTAAAGGCAAACTTCTCACCTGAAGTCTCTTTTGCTATGAATGAGAGTTTGAGGGATCGGGTATCAGATGCCAATCTCTGCATAGAAGAGCCCTCTTCCAATCATGTTCTCTCTCTTATTCTCTTTGTATGTGTGTGTGTGCATGCATGCGCACAGTGTTAAAACAACACTGGAGAACTTTTGGATCTCCAGATGGTTTGTATTTCATGTCTCAGGAGCCATGACTACTAAGAAAAGGGCTCGTGGGCAAAATGTGGTCCAAAATTTCTGGGGAGACTAAAGAACTTCCCCCACTGTTTTAAATGGAGGTGCGGAAGGCTGAACTTGAGACCTTATGTACCGTTTGTAAACAGATACTTTGCCAGTGAGCTATAGGCTTGAGGCAGCTGGTTTCCATGATGGTTGATGGGGCAGAAGGCACAGAATGGAAAATAAACAATGTGCAGGTTTTCCTGTACCTTCATGAACCAAACTGCCATTTCCTACAGCACAAGGGCCCTGAAGCTTTTGGTACAGGTATCTTGCCGAAGTCAAGAAAGCAGCATTCAGTCACCTCATCTTGTAAATCTTCCACCGCCACCTCATCTTTGATAAGTTTCAAAGCAGTGTTAATATAGCAAGTACTGTACTTTATCATGAACAATCCCAACAAGATACCACCTTTTAAATCCAGAATGGTTTGGGGCCCTTTAACACAGGGTTAGGCAATGGTGGCCTTTCAACTCCCCTTATCCCTGGCTGACATAACTAATGTTGGGGGATTCTGGGACTTGAAGTCCAACCACAGTGGAAAGGCACCATTACCAACTCTGGTTTGAAAAGATGGGCAGTCCGTAAAATGTTAGGGACCTGTTTTCCAGATTTTTTTTTTCCAACAGGGGAGAAACCCATCCTGGCTGTGCCCATTTCAACCACTGATTCTGCTTAGCTGGCCCGGTGCATTAGTTACAGAGAGACCCTGCAGATGGTTGTTGTGGGTTTTTCAGGCTCTTTGGCTGTGTTCTGAAGGTTGTTCTTCCCGACTCTGCAGAGTTCACTTCAGTGCAGTGCTGCCATAGGAGTAAAACAGACACAGAGAAGTTTACTCCACAATGACCGAAGGATTAGCTGCTACATTTAAAAAACAACCACAACAAACCCCACCATGTATTAATATCATGGCCACATTTTAAAGGGTCAGATTCATTCTGCTGTTTTCTAAGCAAGTATGCCTGGAATGAATTTGCCCCATTACTCAGCCCTATATAAATCCTATTACCTGCCACTAATATCCCCCACCCTCCCACCAACCCCCCTGACAAAATACAGGGTGGAGAATTTCTCCAGCTCCCTGCTGGCCTTGAAACCTAATTTTCTAGCACGCCAGAGGTTCTTTTTCTTCATTAATCATATTTGCTTAATAACCTTGTTGCATCTCTCCAGAGCCGGAAACTGAAAGGGTCGCATAAGGTAATTTGTGAGGTGGCTCAGCTGGTGGGAAGGCGCCCTGGATGTCCTGTCATTCGCATCAACTGCATATGGAACGGATCCTTACTAATTTGCTTTCCCAAGCTCGCCCAAGATGATACAGCAGGCAGGCAGGCAGGCAGGCAGGTGCCTATTCAAACAGGGCTTTGCTTTGCACCCGGATAATAGAGCTGGCAACTGTGAGCGCGGGTAACACTCTGAGTGTGGGCTGATTGACAGGTCATGGCTGAGCCACGGTGTCTCGCCACTAGGATAATCGTAGCTGACACCTAAGAAAAGATTGCACATCAAACCCACACATTCATTAGTCCATTGTGCTCGGAGTCGCTCTCATTAAATGAAATCACAGCTGCTCTCCATAAACTACATTTGATACCTCCCTACAGGGCAGATGATGAGCCAAATCCTGTCATCTCTGCCCTCAATGGGAGTTTTGCAAGCTCAGTCTCTCTCCATCCTTATGCAGGTGACAGAAATGAGGAGGAATTCCGCATTCTCTCCCCACCCCTCCTTGCATACTGTTTCTTTGCTCAGACCTCCTCCTCCATTCATTATTCCATCTCTCGTGCTTCATAGATTATCATTATTACAGCACCGGCAACATCATGCTTATAAATCTTTTGTAATTCATCCCGCCGCAGTGTTGATGTGCTGCAAAGGAGGGCTGCAAAGTATCTGGCACAGTAAAAGTGTCACAGGAAGAGCTGATAAATAAGACCACCTTGCGGTTTCTTTTCATTAACAAAAAGGGAATAATTAAGTGCAGCCACCTATGTGAAGGCGATGCCATAAATAAATAAAATGGCTGCCTGTTGTAACACTTACAGGCAGAAGGATGTTGAAAAGGTTCAACAATGTATTCGAAGCTCTCCCAGACGCTTCCCGGCCCCTATCCGGATGTGTGGTTCTTTCAAGAGTAGGTAGGCAGTGCAGTTGCCCTCTGGGTGCTTTTGAATACAAGTCCTTGTGACCCCTGACAATGCTGGAGACTCCTGGGGTGGGTAATTGCTGACCAGCTCCCACCAATCCAGGATGACCGTAGTGATGTGGATCCATTTCAATAAAGGTATAGAGGGTTGGTTCTGGGACAAAGACAGCCTTGGTTACTCTGTGTCTGTGTCACAAGGAGGAAAGGGGGGAAGCGGGGAAGGTGATCCTATTGACTCCCTTTGCTCATTCAGTGGGATTGGATAGAATCAGCCACCGTGTCTTTCTGAGGTGACTGAGTTGGGAAGGATGGGGTATTGCAATGAGTTGGTTCCACTCTTATTTGGATGCTTGGGTCCAGATGAGGATGCTTGGTAAATGTTGCTCCAGGCATGATCAGCTTGGACTGGCCTAGATCATACTAAACAGGGTCACTTTGAGGTGTGGTATGTGACCCCCCTCATTTCTACATGCAAAGATCAGGTGGTTAGAGGAATGAAGCCACAGTGCATCTCATGTGATTTTATTTGGCGCTTCTTCCTTTTAATGGACTTTTTTTTAAAAAAAAGACACACCCCAGCTCCTTGTTCCTTCCTCTGTGGGGGACTAGAGTTTAATTTAATTTCAAGCTTTGTATTTCTCCCCCCCAACCCCTTCAGGTTCTGAAGCTACCTGGGGATTCCTTTTGCCCTTGGGAAGACTTTGGGAGCCTAGGGATGAGGGACTGGGACCTTTAATACTGGAAAATTGCCAGTGGAGTCCCATTGCCAGATTGAGGTCACCACCAGCAATCCGGCAATGATTTCCCGATATAAGTGTCTCCAGTCCCCCATCCTGAGGCTCCCCAGGGCTTCCCCAGGACAAAAGGGATCCCAAGGGAGCCTCAGAACCTGAGAGGTGGGGAAAGGAAGTTCAATTGCTGGATGATGAACGTATCCAGGTTGTGCAATGTAAACTTACTCCAACAGGATTTTAACCACTGAAAAAAACATTTTCTTTTATTTATTTATTTATTTTTTAAAAAAAATATCCAGGTTGTGCAATGTAAACTTACACCAACAGGATTTTAACCACTGAAAAAAACATTTTCTTTTATTTATTTATTTATTTTTTAAAAAAACTTAAACTGGTGTGTCAGAGGCAACCTGTACTATTGTTCTGAGCCATTACAGTGGTGCCTCGTATAACGAGCGCCCCGTTTAACGACGAATCCACATAGTGATGCGGACTTTGCGATTGCAAAAGCTATCGCATTGCGATGTTTCCTATGGGGAAAAATCGCTTTGTGATTTTTTCCCATAGGCCCCATTTCCCCCCAGCTGACCGGCGGGGGCTTCCGAGCGACCGCAGTGGAGGCTTCCCCAGAGGTCGCTCTTAAGCCTGCGCCGCCCAGCTGGGGGAAATGGCCGCCCACAGCGTTTTCACGCCTCGCTTACCAAGGCAGCGAAAATGGCGGCCGGATGGGGGATTCTTCGCTTACCGGTGAGTTTTTCCCCAATAGGAACACATTAAACAGAGTTTAATGCGTTCCTATGGGTTCCCCCCCCCCGCATAGCGAAGAATCTGGATAGCGACATTAATCCTGGAACACCCTTAAATTGGTGTGTCAGAGGCAACCTGTACTACTGTTTTGAGCCACTATTTCACACCTGACTCCACTTAAAGCAGAGATCCCCAACCCCCAGTCCGCAGTCTGGTGCCGGTCCATCTGACTCCACTTAAGGCAGAGATCCCCAACTCCCGGTCCGCAGTCTGGTGCCGGTCCATCAGCTGAGCCAGTCCAGGCTGCCAAGACAGACCTCTCACCCCACCCCATGCACACACTCACCCCTGGACAGTCCATTTGCACCTGTGTGCGCACTCCAGCATGCCCATGCAAGCACCGCACCACCATTTGCGCATGCGTATGAGCATGTGACTAGCCTAACAAGAGAGCGCTTGTTCATGCATGCATACGAGTGCAGGGGTTGCCTAGTCTTCCCCAGCCGGTCCACAGACCGAAAATGGTTGGGGACCACTGACTTAAAGGACCTTGAATTGCCAGGAGATAGAAACCTGCCTTTCCTGTCTTAAAAGATCAGCATCATGGTTTTTAATGGAAGAAATCAGTCTTGGTTCTTATCAATGGTGGTACTATAATTTTTCACAGACTATCAGACTATTTTGATCAGCAGGGCTGCATAACCCCCTTATGTGTCTCCCCTCCACACAGGAGATACAGTTCTGCCTGGGCTGTGCTTCCTGTTTTCAGTGCAATTCTTCCTGTGTGTGCCCTTCACAACTGAAGCAGAAAACAGGAAACAATGTATTTATTTATTTA